TTGCAGCCGGGACATTCTAAGCCCTGCATCTACACATCAAATTATGTATTTATGTAAATAACAACTTAACAAATGCAGTCATCTTTTCCCTAGTGTAGAGTCTAAGGCCCTTAGCACTAGATCAAAAAGAGATATATATTTTAACAAAGACATCTTCCCACCCATTATGAAGGGCAGATCCCCTCAATATTCATCACAACACAGGTCTGTGCACAATCCGCATAATAAGATAAAACTGCTGCCACTCATGCGGTCCCCAAGGTCGGCATTTATCTAATCGGTAAACACAGACCACAGAGATTCATCATTGCAAGGTGTAAAGATGCACATATGTACCTGATTTGACTAGAAGCAGCAGGTTAAAGGACTCAATTTAGCCCTCATTCACACGGGTAACGAGCGGCCCGTACAGATCTGTGCTGCGTGCACGGCCGCATCGTGTAGCTCCCGGGAAGGACAGTGCTGCCTTTGATTTGTAAGGAGCAGCCTGTCCTTCTCTATGGGAGTACGCCGCCTTACGCTGCTGCACTTCCGTCCGGGTGTCCGTACTCGTACGCTGACAGGATGGATTCTGTATGCGTCCGAGGAGGGACACCCGCACCCGTACGTACGTGCAGGTCGGGCGAGCGTAGGGCGGCGTACTCCCATAGAGAAGGACAGGCTGCTGCGTACAAATCAAAAGGCAGCACCTGTCCTTCCCGGGAGCTACACGATGCGGCCGTGCACGGATCTGCATGGGACAGCCGTTACCCGTGTGAATGAGGGCTTATAGTTCATGTTTGACAGCAATTATCTGCTCAATCAGTTGGCACACGTGATACATAGTTTCTACAATGCTCAACCTCTGGGGAGTCAAATATGAAACCACAAATATCTCCTCAAATATGTCAGGTTTATGGTCCCGAGGTTTTAGCCCCCATTTACACCAAGGCAACAGCGTTTCAGTGCAGATTACGCACCTTTTTTTACCCACCACGCATTTCCACATGTATACTAAGTCGCACGTCTTTTGTAAGCAGATCTGTGGCACATCGATGTAAATGGGAAACACGTGCAAAGGCGTTTTCTATTGAGTCTACGGGGACAAATTGCATTGATCTGCTCAGGAAAAAGCTCATGCAGGTTTTCCCGCACCAGGCGTTTTTTTTTTACGTGCGCCTCTATGCTTAGGTGTGAACGGGGGCTATAGGAATGTATGGTATTTTTTTGCTGTGCGTTTAAGAGCGCTCAAATACGTGCGACAAAACGCCACAGTGTGAACGGAGCCTTAGGCTTTGCATATGCACCACCAAACTTGTACTAGTGTACTCTAAGCTAGGCTATATGTGGAGGTCACCCAGAAGACATCTAAAAGCAGATTAGAATACACTTCAATGATGCAAAATGCACTAGAGATACAAACAAACACTCAAGAAAGAAGAACACAGGTACTCCTATTTTCATCCTCCTTTGGTTTATAGTAAGTCCAATGTAATATCTGAGACTTCAGCAAAAGGATTTTTCCAATAAAATTGCCAACTGCACCATACCTCTTGCATGGACAGGTGATGTCTAAAGCTGGCCATACACCTTACAATTATCTGCAGATTTTCTGTGTTTAGATGGAAAAAGTGCAACAGATTGGCCCAGGTGGAGATTACTCCATCCACACAGCAAGCCCTGGTTCACACCTGGGCGTTTTGCAGCGTGTTCCTGCACGCTGTAAAAAGCTCAACATGTGAAAACCAATGATTGTTTATGGGCATGGTTCCCACCTGGGCGTTTTACAGCACGTAGGAACGCGCTGTAAAACGCCCTGCGCCCAAAAGGAGTACAGGTGCTTCTTTGGGGCGTTTAGCCGCGCGTTGCCATTGGTATTCCCGAGTGTGGATCGGGGTTAACAAAGCGGTAACCGTGACCCACACTCTGGAATACAGCGTACGGGTCTTACCTTGTCCGCGATCCCCGCTGTGTTTGTCTTCGGCGGCTGCCGACTTCCGGGTTCCGTCCCTTGCGAGTGGCCGTGTCGCAGGGGGGCGGAGCCGGCGAAAAGTTAAAAAATTTTAAAAATAGAGAAAATAAAGGGGAAAAAATAAAATAAATCATACCGCCAGTGAAACACGCGTTTCACTGAACGAAAAAAACGAGCTGAAAAAAAAACGCTCAGGTGTGAACCCAGCCTAAGGCCTTGTTCACACCAAATGCAGAGCAGATCTGCATGAGTTTCTGCACACGCAGTGCAGTGGGTTGTGCCGCGTTTTTGATGCGTTCCGGGCCGTTTTTGGTTAAAAGAAAACAGTGCGTTCCAGGCGTTTGCATGCGTACCAGAGCAGCTCCAGAGCAGGTAAAATAGGGCCTGCTGCAGTTTTTTTTACCTGCTCTGGAACGGAACGCTGCCATGTGAACTGGATCTAAAAATACCATTTGGAATACGTTGGACGCAGTTTTGCTCCGGTCTGTAACTGCTCTGCTCCTGGAACGCGCTTGGTGTGAACAAGGCCTTAAGCGTAGATGGAGGAATCTGTTGCATCTTTTCCCATCTGACCACCGAAAATATGCAGATAATTGTTAAGGTGTATGGGCAGCTTAACAAAGGTTGCAAGAAAAAATTGCACAGCCAGACAGCTGACATACTTATTTCTTGGTCCAGCAATGCAGCTCCCTATGTCACTTTATTGACTCCTTGCACAAAGAATGAACACCTTCACCTCTCTCTAATTAGCTTTAAATCGATGTCAGATGAGCAACTCCGATGCGAACAATCCTGCCGCTGGTGATTTGTTGAAATCGTCAGCAGCAGGATTGCTAAAGGTGCCCATACACCTTACGACCATCGCAAGACTTTTGTCTTGCGATGGTCGTATGCTTCTTGAAAGCCCGTACGATCTGCCCACCTTGGACGGGCAGATCGTACTTGCGATCATCGAAAGCCCGCCCCGCTGAGGGGCGGGCTTCCGATGACGGCAATGCAGAACGGGCAGTGTGCGCGTGCGCACACCGGCCCGTTCCGCAGCTATCGGGCGAGCAGGCTAGAAACCCGCCGAGAATCGTACGATTCTCGGCGGGTTTTCGAACATGTTGGCTCGACAAAAGACGTGCGACCGTACAGTAGAAACGGTCGCACGTCTTAGTTCACACTGCTCGATTCTCGTACGATCGCGGGATTTCGCCCGATTCTCGTACGAGAATCGAGCAGTGTATGGGCACCTTTAGAGGCTGCCCATTTGTCCCTATGGAATCGCTTCCTCTGTAGCTGAGGCAGCGAGATGTCCGTCCCATTGCTAGCAATCAAGGTTCAGCAGCATTCGGGCCAGTGACAGTGTTGCATCATGCAGAGCCTGGTTACAGAGGGAACGATTCCATTAGGGACAAACAGGCAACCTCATCACAATCCTGCCGCTGGCGATATGTCTCTAGCAGCAAAATCGCCATCTGATATCAGCCTTACGCTGCCCATACACTGTGCGATTATCGCGATCGTAAGATAAATCGCAAAGTGTGGCCGGTGTGCGCACGCGCACACTGCCCGTTCAGCATTGCGGTCATCGCAAGCCCGCCCCTCGGGGGGGCGGGCTTGCGATGATCGCAAGTACGATCTGCCTGTCCAAGATAGGCAGATCGTACGTTTTTTTAATTACGTTACAACCATCGCAAGACTAAGGTCTTGCGATGGTTGTAAAGTGTATGGCCACCTTTATGCTGCCCATACACTAAGAGATTTTTGTCTGGTTCTTGATGAACTGGCCGAAATTCACACAGTGGGTGCCGCTGTCAACACCCTTTTGGCCGGCATCCCTCGATCAGCTGATCGAAGGAGGCAGTTGGAAAATATTCAAACGAACAGAGCCAGTAGCTAATGAGCTGCCGGCCCTGCTCGGGTATTCTGACAGTGGCTGCTGTCTGAATAAATTGAAGACAGCGGGAGATTCCTCAATCAATGCGCATAAGCGTTGATGGAGGAATCCGTTATATTGTCTTTGTTCAGCCTGCACTTTGAACGAAGAAAATATTACAGTATATGGCCAGCTTTAGTGATCTGGGAAGCAGTAAACTGAATCAGGAAGTAAAGACACAAGCAAGTAAAGTAGTAGCAGCTGGCTTTGCAGTGTGAAAAGGGATTAAGACAAAGAAAAAAAAAAATTCCACTATCAGGCACACTTTTCAATTAAATAAATATGCTAAAGTTGCTGCCGGACAAAAATTCAGGCAAATGGATGTGCTCAGTTCTGTAAAATCAAGAACAGAACTGAAAATATCAGAATTTTAACAATATGGTCAAGTATGATCAGATGAAAATGCATGGCGTAGTTCTTCAATCAGCGTGAAACACTGCAATTCAATTACTTCTGTATTTATATTAGACAAAAATGATAATTTGCAAGAAATCTGAACATATTTAAAAGGACCACTAGACCCAAAACAAAGAAATGGCACACTTTACAGCAACCTATTGCTGCAACGTGCAAGTTGCCACTGAACACAAAAAGAGGCAACAAAACAACAGCTTTTCATTTGCTTTTAGGAAATTCACAATAATGGCACCTGACATGCCATCTCAGCATTAAATACCTTCTTTACTGCTTGCAGAGTGTCCATTAATGTTGTTTCAAAGGCCTCATTCACACTGCAACGCATATCTGCGCGCATGTGCGTATTGTACCATATGCAAATAAATGGCTCTGTACACATAGCCGCGTATGGAGCCGTATATTTGCGTAGCGTAAAAATGAGCAAAAACAGAATGGAACAGAGATGCGTTCGGTCAGCATATTTCTGCGTATTTACTCGTGTTTGCGTGCATATACGCACGTACAGTTCATTAACATTTCTATTACAAATGATGCATTCTGGGATTGCAAATAGGGCACGCATATACGCAATATACAATTTTGTTCTTGCGTTGTGTGTGAATGAGGCCTTACAAATAAACCAGCTCATGTTTTTCTTTAATCCGGACATAGTGGCCCTTAATATAAAGCCTTCCTCATGTTCAGATGTTAAAAAAGGATTGCATTCCTTACCGCATCTTCCTCATCCTCATCTTCCTCTTCTTCATAGAAATCAACCTCGTTAGGATTCATGTTTGATTCCAGGAAGTCTGTCTCATCATCTCGGGCACCAACAAAAAATCTGGGTGTCGAGCTGTTGCCCTCGCAGGGTGGGGTCAGGGATGACATCACAAACTACTGGGCCTAACATCACGCTTCGGAACCATCACGTAAAAATCAGAGAGATCTTGAGGAAAGAAGGAGACACTTCGAAGGCCTCCAGGTTCAATACAAAAAAGGTTTCACAGCAGCCAAGAAAAACAGGTACAGTAGAGAGATGCAAAAAAAAAAAAAAATCTATCTACAAAAACGAGCAACTTTATCAGGATGCTCTATAAACCCATACATCTTCTTTAATCAACAGTCATTCAGAGTTTACTGTGATCTCATTCTAGTCCTAAAAATCAGAATGCAGGAACACCAGCGTGAGAGGCTGTCCTAAAAATCAGAATGCAGGAACACCAGCGTGAGAGGCTGTGAATGTTAAGCTGGTACTCTGCCACTTGGTCTTCTTGAGGCAGGGACCTAGAACAAACAAAATAATTTGTATTTAATCCAAGAGTGTTCAAACAAATGCTCTTGCCAGTACTGCTTATTCATCTTCAGACATTAGATTCCGTTATAAAACATGAATAAGAGGCAGACACATACAATACATTAAGACAGTGTATCCCAATGAGAAGGAAATTAATCTTCATCTATACGTGTGAAAAAAAAACATTGTTCCCTATTCTTAAAGCAGGGCTTACCAAACACAGCATGTCCAGCCAAGAGTTTGTTAAACTGATCATCAGTAAACAGTCATTGTGCAGAGCACAAACACAGAGCACTCAAGGAGAACAGAGGTGAGATAAAGTTCTGCCTCTTTGGTAACCTATGACTTGTATTGCTCATTGCTCCACCCATGCAAGACAGCTGTCTCAGCACTTCACAAGAGAAGAGAACAAGCTCCAAGCTGTTACATTAGAAATTCAGTGTCTAATGTTTCCTACATAGTTCAAGCAGTGACACTTTCTGTGCATCTCACCCATCCCACGTTCTTCAGCAGGTTCATTTATATATATGTATATATAGCCTTATTGGTATAGCTAGCTAAAAGCAACATTCAAACACTGTTTAAAAATGCTCCTTTTTTGGGGGTGAAAACAATCCAACAATAAGCAGTTGTTTCCCTACACCAATATATTGGATAGGAGATTACCAGCACTCACACACACCACACTCTTCTATCCAATACTTTGAGATTACACGGTGCCACCCGTGTTATCACTGTGAGCCAGGGGTGTAAATAGAAATGGGAGAATGCTGATCTCTCCTCGGTTCTCACTGCCTGCAGATGGGGACAGCGGAGCCCGGGATAACCGGTAGCGGCACTGGAGGGGGGAGCGCACTCTTTTTAGTGTCATACAAGCCATCGGCTGGCTAGGGGGCGTGCGCAAGCAGAAAAAAAATTACGAACAGGCACGTCCTCCCGCTGGGAAGAGTCCGCAGTTCACCCGTGTATTCACAATGGGTGGACAGCAAGTGGTTAACAGACCAAACTGTCCAGCATAAAGCTGGCCATACACCTTACCTTTTGGATTGAATTTTTGGCCCCCGAAGACAGGAAGTTTGTTACTGGCCAGATCACCAGATGAAGAAAAAAAAAAGAAAAAGCATAAAAAAGGGAACTATTGCAGCCACCTCATTAAAATATTGGTAAGCTACAATATATGACTTTTTTGGTTTTGGGTTAAGATATGCTTTCACTGTTCACCCAACATAAACTTTTGTTTTAACCCCCTCTTGAAGTGACACAAAACTCAGGAGTTAATCTTAAAAATGCATTCAAATACCCTATTAACAATACTGTAAGTTATTTGTGTATCACTCGGCTGTAGATCCTTAAATCGTATCTGAATTGGTGCAGACACTGTGCTTCCTTCTGGACGGTGGCTACTCTTGTTCCCCATGGTCCCTGTGTGTGTTGTAAAGTAGCTCCCAGCTCACTCTCATGATATACTACAATCTCATGTTTAGTTTACTAATTTGTATTGAGATTGTAGTCCATCACAGGAGGGAGCTTGGAGTGGTGGCTACTTTATAACACACAGGAACCATGGGGAACAGAAGTAGCCACCCTCCAGAAGGAAGGACAGTGTCAGCACCAATTCAGAGATGATATGAGGATCTACAGCCGAGTGATGCACAAATAAGATAGATTCTTGTTAATAGTTAAGGTACTTGAATGTATTTTTAAGATTTACCTCCTGAGTTTACTTTTTTTCCTCTGGTATGCTGTATTAGCATACTCAAACACCCAGCAAGTCCAGCGTTGTTGTGCTGTGATCCACCACTCCGAATGCCATGGTCCCACACCAACATCTTCCTCTTTTCCATCATCAGGAGCCGCCTGTCTCTTCTGGGTTCTTGCAGCCGGCACCTGATAATGCGAGGTCCTGCCTCTAGCACTGTATAGCTCTGCTGATGCCGCCTAGGATATGTGACATCAGGGGCGTAACAAGAAATCACAGGGCACAATAGCAAAAAAATGTATGGGGCACTGTGATTTCTCGGTATACCCCTTGCAGAGCCCACCTGAGGGTGACCCTGCAGAGCTCACCATAGACTTTCTATTGTGGGCTCTGCAGGGTCACCCTCAGGTGGGCTGGTGGCACTCCTTACCTGTCTGCCTCCTCTTCCTCCACGCTCACTGATTGGCCCAGCCTCCTCCGTCGCCAGGCCCACCTCCTTTACCGTCACTGGGCCCCCGCCTCCTCCCCTGCAGTCGACCACGGGCCCCGTCTCCTCCTCCATTGCCGCTGCTGGCTCTCATTCACTCAGCAGGGGCTCTGGAGACGAACGCGCTGCTGCACAGATTACGGTCAGTGATCTGAACAGCAGCGCATTCTTCTTCAGAGCCGCCAGTGAAAGCCACCAGCAGAGTATGCCATAGCGACCCAGGCAGTCCGCTCGGCATCTGGTCGAGCCCCCCTGTGCCCCGGGCCCCATAGCGGCCGCCTGGGGCGATATGGCAATTGTTACGCCACTGTGTGACATGCATATGTCAGGAGTCCTCAGGAGCAGAGTGATATTCTCAGAAGCAAAAAACAAAAAGGAGCGTCTCCTTTTGTTTTTTGCTTCTTAAGGTGTCCATACACTGCACGATTCTCGTACGTGAATCGCGGGAAATCCCGTGATCATACGATAATTGTGCAGTGTATGGAAGGCGTGCGACCGTTTCTACTGTACGGTCGCACGTCTTCCGTCAAACAAGCAGGCTGGAAAACCCGCCGGGAATCGTACTATTCTCGGGCGAGTTAGTGGGCTGCTTGTTCGACAACTGCCGAACGGGACGGTGTGCGCACGCGCACACTGCACGTTTGCAGTCATCGGAAGCCCGCCCCTCATTGCAGTCACCGCAAGCCCGCCCCTCGGGGGGCAAGCTCGCGATGATAGCAAGTACGATCTGCCTGTCCAAGATGGGCAGATCGTACGTTTTTTTTTTTAGGTACTTTACCAGCCTCGCAAGACAAAAGTCCTGCGAGGGTTGTAAAGTGTATGGCCACCTTCAGACTGTTGGTCACCCAGACCAGTGGAAGCTGCCTCAAAAGTTTTATCAGACGGTGTTTCATGAAAAGTCGCAGGTGCTGGCGCCGGTGTCATTTACGTTGATATCATTCACACCTAGCAAGAATGCAGGAAATGGGCGGACTAGAAGGAATAGATACAAATACGTACATTTTAAAAAAAAGTCTGCTTTTTATACTGTGGGGGGGATACAATGAGGTTGTTTTTTCTGAGTGAATGTCTGCTTTAACGAAGTAAATAACACTCATGCCTAATTACCACCTATGTACAGTATATATGGGTACTATTTTCCAAATTGCAGTGTTTCCAGTAATCACCAAGAATTAGGAGACTTCTTTTCAACTCATGGGAGCGAAGTAGAGTAAAGTAATAATGCACAAATACAATACAGATGTTACTTACCGACTTACCTGTTTTGCGACCACTCGCACTTACGACGGACCGCCGATCGACCTCCGACCTTGCGCGTCAGCGTGCCGTGTCGCCGGCGGAAGTGGTGTCCTCCGATCTTCACTGCGGGCCCCAGTAAGTATTTTCATTGCCCGATGTACAGTACACTGTTTGGTACTGTACATCGGCAACGCTATACAGTACTGTATAGAGTTCCTCGCTTAACGACCAATCCGTTTAACGACCTGGTCGTAGGAACGGAACTCGGTCGTTAAGTGAGGAATACCTATAAGACAATTATGCAGATATAAAACAGTTTCCAGAGTTATACTTTTTTAATATTGTACATTTAGAATAAAGTACATATCAATGTCCTCATCCTTATAAGATTAAAAAAGCAATTACATTCTGTAGACACAAACAGGGGCTTCCGAAGCAGAATTAATTTGCTAATTAATTATTATTTTTCTTTCCGAGAGTGCCAGCTCTGTATAAAGTCCTATAAAAGTGAGTGGGAGGGAGAGAGGGATGCACTCAGTATGATGTGCTGTCGCAAGAGTAAAGCTGCCCATGCACCTTACGATTATCGTACGACACTTTTCACCCGATGATCGAACCGCCGTACGTATTTCGTACGGCGGCCCCATCCTGCACCGATATCGCAAGGTTCAATTAGCCGTAATTAAAGAAAAGCACCCGGACGAATTGCGTCAATCGACCGCACAAATTTTCGTTTGCGCATGAGCAGTGTAGATCGTACGATATTTGTCGTACGGAAACGCCACTAACCTTGCGAAAATCATACGATCGACCAAAGTTTTCAAAACCTGCTTGACAGTCAAAAGTCGAACATTGTACAGTATTTGCGGTTGTACACAGCCCATACACCTTGCGATTATCGGACGAAACCGCGTTTGCATACTATTATCGTACGATAATAGTAAAGGTGTATGGGCACCTTAAAAAGGAGAACTATGAGGTGAGTGCTTTTCGCTCACCTCATAGTTCTAGCCGACCTGTGACAATGAGACTGTCACAGGTCGGCTCAGTAGATCGGGAGGTGAGCGAACACATACCGGCGTTCGCTCACCTCTCGATCCTGTCACGGCTCTCTGCCGTGACAGGGAAGGGGCTGGAATCCCCCCTCCCCGCTCCGATCCACCAGCGCTGACTGGCGGAACGGACAGGGGAGAGCACAGCTGGCTCTGCCTCTAGATAGGCAGAGGCAGCTGTCAGTCACGCAGCTGGGCGGATCCCGGCACAATTGTCGGGATCCGCTTCAGCATCGTGGTATACTGCGGCGTCTCAGTATACCGCGAGCTAGAGCTCGCGGTATACTGAGCCTAGGGGGCGGGAGGACGCTAGTTTGTGTCCTTACGTTACCCTAAGGAGAACTATGGGGAAAAGCCTTAACCCCATAGTTCTCCTGTAAGGGTCAATTCACACCATCTGCGAT